TGGGACGTGACACTAGGCATTCTGGCTCCGAGGTCTGTGTTCTTAACTCTATAGAATACTCCACAGTGGCCACGTCTAGGTCCCAACGCCTCTTGGGCCAAGCTCAGAGCTCACAGGATGGAAATAAATGCTTTAAGTGGGTCTTTTTACTCTCAAATGGAAGATAAGACCAACTTCTCCCCGCCTTTCAGAACCTATCAATAATTATAATAACAATGGCAGCTGCTATTATTGGGAACTTGCTATGGGCCAGGCCCTCTGCTAATTGAATCCTTACATTTAATCAAGGCAGGCACAGTTTTTACCCTCATTTTCCACATGTGGGGAATGAAGGTCAGAGGTCAACTAACTTGACAGTCATAGCAAACACATGGCAGAGGAGTTCAAACCCTGTCTGTCTGACGCCAAAATCTAAACTCTCACCTTTCAGCAAAACATGCTTCTCTTAGATGTAACTAAGGTAACGATGATCTCATTAACTCTGTCCAATAATGCAGGTTTTATGATCCCTAAAACGAAAGCTGCCCTGAGCTCACCAATTTTTCCAAGGAAAAGCATAAAGTAAACAGGATTTCACGAGGAACTTCAACACTTGCCCAAAAGAACAGTTGCAACACTCTTGAGCAACCTCATTTGCATTTAAACAAGCAGCAGCTCATCACAGGACTCTTGGGTGGGATAGAGCACCAGCCCCTCTCCCTGGCAACAACGCCAGGGCCAGGACCATCCTACAGGATCAGTGGCCTCCTGCGCCCTCTAGTGGCATAACTCAGAACTCCCCAGCTGTGGGCCCTGGAGAATGCAGCTTCCTAGCACAGAGAGCAACATTTCATCTTTTCAGGCCTGAAGTCTCCTCAGGACCCTTTAGTGGCTCTTCATCTCACTCACAATGAAAAGTCAAAATCCTTAAAATGGCCTGCAAGGCCCTCTGTGATCCTTGCTGCTTCCCCATCCCCTAGCTTCATCTTTGCTCTCACCTCCTATTACCTATTCTCCCTTCTTTTCCATCCCAGCCACAAGCCTCCCTACCTTGCCTCAAGGCATGCCAGGCCAGCATGCTCTCACCCCAGGGCCTTTGCACTTGCCATGCCCTTCGCCTGGGCTGTTCTTCCTCAGGTAACCACGTCGCTCCCTCTGTCTAATATACATTCTTATAAATACAGTTCATCACCCACAGCAGACTGCAAACTCTTCAAGGGCAAAAAGACACATTCCTGTAACCTCAACACCTGACACAGTACCTGGCATACAGCTGGTGCTCAATAAGATCAGCTGAAGTTTCTGGTCTCCAAGCAAGCCATGCTTGGTCCTTTTGTCCTACCTTTGCACAAGTACTCTCTTGATTACCAAAGCCCCCTACTCTTTGCCCCAACCAGAAAAATTCCTCCTCTCCCAGATAACATCCCTGATTTGCGGCCACAGTGACCTCTCCTTCCTGGATGGATCTGGGGGTCAGGTTGGCAGGTGATAGAAAGGGAGGAGTCAAGGATGACTTTTAGATGTTGGGCTTGAGCAACAGGGTGGATGGTGGGATGAGGAAGATGAGGGAAGGAGCAGAGATAAATCTGAGGCTACACTGTTTCTAAGGCCGCTGGTCCTGCCTCCTCCACAAGGCTGTAAGCTGCCTGAGAACTTTCTTCCTGGTGGTTCCACTCTCCCCAAGCCTGGCTTCAATTTCAAGTCTTGGCTCTGTGCTCAATAAAAGAAGCTGGGCCTTTGGGGACTAAAATATTGGAAGTGATGAACAGGGAACAGGATCCATTTTCTCTGTGCAAATGTCCCTGGCTGGAGAGACCCTGGGATGCTTCATGAGCTTCATGACTGGGCAGGGTGGAACCCTAAACTTGGACTGAAGTCTTCACTTTGCCACAGACTTTGGGCCACCACTCTCTCAGAGCCTCAGTTCTTCATTTGTAAAATGGGAATCCCACCTACCATGCAACGTGGCTCTGAGCAGCAAATGAGGAAACATATGTAAAGTTGCTAGCACACAGTAAATGCTCATTAAATAATAGTAGTAGCTAGCTCTTTGGGAGAGCTTTTCAGGTTTCAGGCCGTGTTCTTAGCATACTTATATATATATTAGTTTATCTAATCTTCATTATAACCATATGAGGTGTATGGTTAATCAGAGACACAAAACAGGGTTTTGTGAGGGGTGGCCAGTTAGCTCAGTTGGTTTAGAACGTAGTGCTCATAACACCAACGTTGTTGGTTCGATGCCCACACCCTCTAAAACTAGACTGAAACAACTACTTGATTGGAACTGATGGGTCTTGGAAAAATACACTGCTCCCCAATAAAAGAAACAACAACACAGGGTGTTGTGTGTACGAATTGGCTGACATGATTGCAGAGGCATGGTGAACCCCACATCTGATGTGGTAGGCTGGCAGGCTGAAGACTAGGGGAACAGCTGTAGTTCAAGTCCAAAGGAAATCTGCTGGCAAGATTCCTTCTTGCTCAGGGGAGGTCCATTCTTGTCCTATTAAGGCCTTCAACTGATCAGATGAGGCCAAACTCATATTATGGAAGGTAATCCGTTTTACTCAACATCCACTGATTCAAATGTTTGTTGTTGTTTTTTTTTTATAGCTGAGCTATCCTGCCACCTGTTGGTAGCTCAGCGTCAGCTCAGCTCGGGCCTAGAATCAAACTGGAGACCCTGTTGCTCAGAGCTCTCACTCTTGAGCGAGTTCTTAACCACCTCCATAGAAACATCCAGAATAATGCTTGACCAAATATCTGGGCACCATGGTCCAGCCCAGTTGACACATAAAATTAACCATTACAATGGGTATGAATATTATCCCTAATTTACAGAAGAGAGAACAGCCATAGAGATGGTAAGAAATCTGCCCAAGGTCTCAGAGGAGAAAAGCCAGGCTCTAAAATCCTGCTGTCTGGCTCCAGAGCTGGCACTTTTAACCATGACACTAAGTGGCCATTATCTTAAGCACGCCAGTGTAAATTAAATTCCTCCATCCATCCTTTTCCTGGCCTGAGAGTGGAAGGCAGGGAAACCGGGGAAGGTTTTCCCTGGGTGGGGCCCTGCGCTGCTTAAGAAGCAGCACAGAACCCAACCCTCAGAGACAGGTTGGAGGGACCCGAGGGGTTGTCTGGTGTAGCCCTTGACTTTACAGGGGGCAGCCAAGGCCCAGAGTTGAGAAGGGACTCACCCAGGGTCCCATGGCTTCAGAAAGTAATGATGATGATGGATAAACTTCTATAGTAGTTATTATGTGCTACATATGAGGTAAATACTATTGTCATCTTTGTTTTTAAAAAAATGAAGAAAGACAGAGAGGTTATGAAGCTTGCCTGAGATCACACAGGACCAGAATCTAAGGCCAGGATCAACTGCGACACTCCACCTCTGAGGCCCAGGACAAGTCTCTTGTTGAGGGGGATGTGACAGAACACAGTCCCAGGTTTGCTGCTCCCTCCCAGTTCTCCAACGTGGGGCTGTGACAGCCAGTGACAGCTGAGGTAATGCTGCAACTAACTCTTCAGGTTCATCAGGCAACTCACCCTCCTGGTCACCCGGCAAAAGCCCTCCTGCACCAGTGGGCAGGCACACCTGAGCTACCCCTGCCCGGCTGACAGGGGCGTGCACACACATCTCACCTCACAGTCACATACGCCCCAAGAAAGACACTACACAGACTCCAACCCACAACCAGATACTGCCCGACACACTGGCACACATACCCAACACCTATGCACCCAAACAAGTAGACATACCATCATGGCACCCAACTATGAAGACCCCCACAACCCCCACATAAACACACGCCCCCCCCAGTAAATAAACCAGGACATAACTTTCCACAACCCAGTAAACATACAAGCAAACACTTGTACACACAAAACATACGAACCCATACTCAAAAACACAGACACCATGCAATCACAACTACCCCCAATTCACATCCCATCCATCATGTGGGCACACATACCTCTAATGATCCAAAGTCAAGGCACTTGGACACAGATATCTCCCCACAGGGGCCATTAACGTGAGTCACGTGTTTATACACACTTCCCATATCCCCAAGGGCCAGACTCCGCGCCCCAGGTAGCTGCCCACCCCCATAACTCACCACCCTTGTAAGTAGGACAACACACATGCCTACACAGATAGCTCCAGTCCGTCCCGCCCCCACATCCGTACACACAGAACCCTAACTCCTAGGGACCACCCTCCCCCAAGCAACTTACACCCGCCCACACCCAGACGTTTGCCTAGCCCAGCCCTCCCCATCCGGAGAGAAGCCTCCGACCCCAGCCAACAGCGCCTAGCACACCGTGTGCCGGACTTGCCCCACCTCTCTCCCTTCTCCCCGTCTCCACACCCTTCAAAAACTCCCGGCCAATGCCAGGTGGGGTCTGCCCCCTCCCACCCGCGTCTCAGCTGCCACCACGCAAAGCCCCCACTCCCGCAGCAAGGAGAACCGCTCAGAGTTGGAGGAGGAGGCGGAGGTCTGCGCTGCAGGCGTTAAAAACTCAGTCACTCAAGTGCGACCCCCCTTTTTTTCAGTCCTGATGTCACCTTACTTCGGGGAAAAGCTCTGCCTCTCTATTAACCCTTCCATCACGCCGCACCGCGGGAAGGACCTATGGAGAAGTCACAGCAGTGCCCAGTAGTGGGCACCGCAGCCGGGGTGGGAGGAGGGGATGGATCGGCCACCAACGTTGTGGGGACTTAGGCCCTTCAGGAGACACCCCCACACTCCTCATGCACCCACACCCATCCCCACAGGGGAGAGTCTGAGGAACTGAGTGGGAGAAGGCGCAGGCAGCAGAGATCTTAGGGGCACAGGCTGGGCAGCGGGGCAACCGAAGGGACTACCCTGGCCCCGCAGGGCCAAAGGGCAAGCAGGCAAGACCACTCCCCCTCCCCACCCCACACACCCCGAAAGTCCTCCGCAGGGTCCAAGGGGCACGTGCACAAAGAGGGAGGGGAGGTCGAAGGGGAAAACGCCCGGAGGCTCCCTTACCTGATTTCCTCTTGGAACTGCCATAGTCCCTGAAAAAGAAGCAACAACAGATAGACATGGTTAGGGCTCGGCGGGGGCCCAGGTCGGGGCTGCAGGGTTGCGGCTGCAGGGCGCCCACAGGCGAGCTGCGGTGGGTGCCCGGCGCCGCTGCTCATGTGATCCCCGCTGCCGGGGAGCCGCGCGCTCCGCAGATGCACGCACAGCGCGCCGCGTCTGCCCGCAGGTCCCCAGGCAGCCCGGCCTCCGGGCACGATCCGCTGGTCCCGCCCCGCCCGCAGCCAGCACCCCGGACCCCGCCTTGCCCCGCCCCGGCCGCCCGACAGCCGAGGCTCATGGGCCGCTTGGGCCCTTTCCCAGGCACCATTCCCCACCCTAGGCGGATGCGGGAGGGTGAGGCAGGTTCCCGCGCACTTTGTAAATAGGGAAACTGAGGCCCTGGAGGGTGGTTGTTAGAACTCAAGCCCTGCCCGCGCTGGGACCCCGGTCCCCACCCTGCAGCGCTTCCCTCTCAATTCTTGGCATCGCTAGCTCATGCCCATTCAGCCTCTAAGTTACGACCGAAACGTCACGTTAACACCTCCTTAACGTGTCTTCCTCGACATCTTCCCCCTCTCCAAGTTGGTCCCCAAGTAATTGCATATTTGTGTGACCCTTTGATTAAAGTCTGCCCCCCCCCGCCCCAGGCCCAAGCTCCCTGAGGTCACACTGTAGCTTGTTCTCCTCCCCCCACCCCCATATTTCCCCTGGGCCTGGCATAGATGATGGCTAAACATTGGCTGTAGGCTGAATGTTGAACAGATCGGCTGGGGATTCAGTAGGGGTGAGAGAAGAGCATACTGCAGAGCTAACTGGGGGGGCCAGGAATAGGAGGAATGGAGGTTGAGCTCACTTCCGAGGAAGTGAGCACTGGGCTCAAATCTTGCAACTAGCAATAACTCAACACCTCTCAGCTCCATTGACCTGCCCTGGACTGCCCTAGCCTGGAGCCTGCCCTGCCCTCCAGCGGAGGATTTAACCCAGACTCAGGATCTGGCTGGTTCCCGCATCTTGCCTCCAGGTACCCTCCTGGCTTGCTCCAGGCTTTGGCCCCTCCCACCACCCTTCCATTCATCAGTCTAACCGGGAGCCTCAAAGGCCTCTAAAATGTTGGAGGTTCTGTTAAGTGCCAAGGAGACAGTGGCTGGGGATCTATCTGGAGACTAGAGAAAATGCCTGTCATCTCCCCTGGGGAATCAAAGGAAACACCATTCCTGAACTTTGGTAGAAGCCAACTGGCCAGCGAGGTCTGCCTGCTGGAAAGATGGACAGCAGATTCACAGGGAAGCTGTCAATTTCATGGAGACACAGAGATTCTGATTCTGGAGGTCTGGAGCCGGGGTGTGGGGGGTGGGTAGCCTGGGCTTTTGGGGATATTAGTTTAGCTCTAAGGTGATTCTCCTGCACAGCCAAGAGTGAGACCGCCCCCCCCCCCCCNGGGTAGCCTGGGCTTTTGGGGATATTAGTTTAGCTCTAAGGTGATTCTCCTGCACAGCCAAGAGTGAGACCGCCCCCCCCCCCACTTCCCTAGACTCCTATGTTTCCTAAAGCGTGGGCTCGGAACCCAGTGGAATTGAATGCTGGGGCTGAGGCCCAGGAACCTGCATTTCTGGTACCTTCCACCTATCCCCCTCCTGTTTGAGAACCCCCTTGGAATTCCATGCCTCTTTCCATCCTCACATCTACATGAAAAGGAAGGTCCTATCATCCCATTTTATAGATGAGGAAACAGGTTCAGCCACTGCTCAAGGTCACCCAACCAGGGGAAGGGCAGTGGTTTAGAAGCCCACTGACAGGCATGAAAACTGCAGTGTGGATTCCGTGGAGGACCTGGTGAATGTGTTGCCTGGGAAAGGATTAGGAAGGTGGGAGAGTTCCCACTTGCCCCTCCCCGCACCTGGCAGACCCTGGAAAGGCATGCTTCTCCCCTTGGGGCAGAAGGGAGACTGGGAGACACTGTGTCCCAGAGGCCTGGCTGTCCCCCTTGATGCTCATTGGTGGGGTGACTATGTTATTGCCCAGCAGACTGGCCACTCCCAGGGAGGGAATTCTTTTCTCAGGCCGTTTTTTGCAGAATGAGGCCTGGGGAAGGGCAGGGAAAGGAGGAGCTGCCCTTTCCGATACCTCCCTCCATTCCCCCCACCCCCCATCCTGCAGGAGAAGCCCTCTGGGCCTGGGACCAAAGTGGCCCACTGACCATCCCCTGGCTGCCAGTAGTTCAGACAGGGGGTGAATTCCTTGCAGTGATGGCCACCTTCTCCAGGTCTGTGCAGCTGCAGGCTGCCCAGGATTCTTTTTGAGCTTCTCAACAGCCCCAAGGGGGAAGCAGGCAGGTCATTATCCTGTGAAGGGTGCACACGGAGGCTGTGGAATAAGAGACATAATTCACAGGCGCTGAAAGCTGCCTCTGTGCTATGCTGGGTCAGCGACTGAGCCTGGTCCTTAAACGGGATCCTCTGGGCTCCACTCCAATCTACCTCACTGCCTGCCCCCTGGGCCAGTGTTGGCTGAGAACCTAGGGCCCATACAGCTTCCACCCCCTTTGCTACAACCCTGATATGTAGGCAGCAGTGGTGCCAAGGGGCGCTCCAATCCCCATACCATAATCTCCACCAGACCCCTAAGAAACATTTATGCTTAGTCAGAACAAGGTGCCGGCAGTGCCAAAGCAGCTTGGAGACAAATCTCCTGGGCTGGCCTGTCTTTCGACCAGAGCAGAGTCCTTCGCACCAGGGTTTTTGGACCCCTGCAGGCGGTGTGGTCCCCTATTTTACAGGTGAGGAGAGCAAAGCCTAGAGAAGCTTGACAACTTGTTCAAGGTCTTACAGTGAGTAGGTGAGGCTGGGATTGAGCACTAAGAACCCAGGCCTTGCTCTGGGGGGCTCAAGACAAGTCCCTAAGCACTGCCCCCTCCTGGAGCACGGGGTGCAGGAGAGGGAGGGGAATGCAAGGCCCTGGGGCCTGAGAAGCACGGGGTTAATGGAGTGGAGGCTGAGACCTGGAAGTTGGGCAGCTGGGCTCTGGCTGAATGGAGGGCATGGCAGGCACAGGAACCCTTCACAGCATCTGGCCTCCAGCCTCTTGGCAGTTTCCGGTTGGGCACCTTTTAGCAGAGCCCTCTAGTATTTTTAGCTGCTGAGAAGCAGCTTAGGTATCCAGTGGCTGGGACTGCCCCATCCCTCACATACCGCAGCAGAGAGAGAAGAGGGTAGGGTTCCCATCCTCTGGCACGCCCACCTCCTGCTGCCCTGCAACCAGTCCTGGCCTGGGCTGGACAGCCGGCCCTCTGTTGGGGTCCAGTTACCAAACAACTCAAGCTCGCCCTCCCCTCCCCGCTGCAGTTCTCACCCTGAGCTGGTGCTGACAGCCCCCACCCGCCAGTGATTCCACTATGGGTAGGTCACAGTCGAGCCCGCTTCTGACCTGCTGCTGAATCACTATCTCCCAGGGAGCCACCGGAAGGAGAAGGGAGGGCAGGCGAGGGCCAGCGTCTCCCTCTAGTGTCTCCAGAAGTTAATGTAATTAAAAAGGCCTCCCAGGCTGTGTCCTCACGAGGCTCTGTCAGGCCACTTGGCCTTCTCTGCAACTGGTCCAGGAGTGACAAAGACCATGGGTACAGTGACCCACCAAACCAGGACACGGGACTTCCAGGACTCAAACTGGGAAAGTCACAAACTGGGACAGCCTGTCACCCCGTGGTCCACAGGTCTGGCCTGCCGGGGAAGATGAGAGGAGTCCCTCCTACCCAGCACTGCCACTGCCCCATTTAAACAGGGCCTCCTGGGGCCTCTGCCTCCCCCCGCCCCTCCACATGACACACACAGTGCATCTCTTGGCCCTTCCTCACAGGATGAGGTTCTGAATGAGGTTCCTAGGGTGGTTCTGGAAGCCTACAGACTCCAGTTCAGCTCCCTGCTATTTGCTGGATGGTCACCTTGAGCTACCAGCTTCACCTCTTGAGCCTCTATTTTTCTATCTATAGGATGAGGATAATAAGCGGACCAACCCCTTAGGATGTGGGGAAGATGAAACGTACAGTACACATACAGGGGCTGGCACAGCGCCCAGCACAGAAAATGCAGCCTAACTTGTCTTTTTTATTATTCTTTCATACCTGAACCTGACTCCACCTCAGTTGCTACCCAAATGGCAAAGGCCTGTTTAAACTTGGGCCCTGCAGAGGCCCCTTAAACAAAAGGAAGGGGCTTCTTCTTAAGGACCTCACCGTGATGCTGGCAGCGCAGCCCCCAATAGGGGCAATTCCAGCCCCATTTTCAGCCATTTGGGGCTTTCACAGATACCAAAACAACCTGGGTCTTGGTCTAGCGCTGTCCATCCAGAAAAAGCCTGTTCCTGCACGCTGAACGTTTGATCCGTGCTCCTCTGGCAACAATCATATTTTAGGGTAACACTGACCCATAGGAATTGGTTGCCCTAGGCTCATTTATTGGGATGCATTTAACCTCCCAAGGAGGGGCCAACTCTCAGAGCCCTAAACCAAGAGATGCAAAGGGCCCAGTGTTTTCATGCTAATGACACCCCAAGGGTCATCTTCCCTTTTCTTCTTTTTTTCCCCCTTTCATTTCTCTTGGTGCTGTGTTCCTTCCCCAGATATTCTAGTGAAGGGGCTGGTGGTGGAGACAGCAAAGAGGGGGAGGCTGGAGGGAGCGGGTAAGAGAGGCATTTAACAATTCTTGTGTGCTGGCCACCTTGTGTGCACATTCCTCCCTACCCTCGGCCCTCTCTCTTGAAAATTCCAAGCAGACATTTGACCTCAGGGCTCTGAAGTAGGTAGAGGTGGTGTTAACCCATTTTATGGACAAGGAGACCGAGGTCCTGAAGGTTGAAGTGGCTTGCCCGGGCTTGTGAAGCTACAGTGACAGACTCGACCCAGAGTGCTCCCCACACTGAGGCCCAACAGGGATTGGGAGGCGCAAGCAGCAGGAGCAGGCTCTTGCTGGGGAAAGGAAACAGCCATCCTGCCCGTCAGAGT